TAAGTTAGCTAAATAATATTTATGGAATGTCCGAACCTAGATTATTAATTATTAATATATCAATATTATTTGTCCAACCTAATTACGAAGCATGATTCTTCGCCAAGTAGGATTCCGAAGCACCAGAAGCAGCCACGTAGGCTCAACGCATTCGAGAATTATATATAAGGGGAGGGGATGTGTTTCCTCTTTTATTAAACTAATGGAAATTTTTTATTTTAAGCATGAATTCAATAAAAATATAAATTTTGAATCAAATATTAATAATCACGTGTGTCGCACGTGCACCTTCCTTGTAAATATGAAAGTCATAAGCACGGTTTATTGAAATAGGAAAACATTTATTTGAGCACATTCTGAATATATTTTGGGTTCTTACCCCAATTTTTGGGTGTTGTCTTTGTCCATAAGAAGATCTCATTATATCATGTGGTGACATGATAACATTTACTGAACATATACATCGCCAAAAAATGTAATGCTGTTAGTGTTAGATGTCGATTCGAACTACTTATTAGTTGCAAGTGGTTCTTGATACTTTTTGGCCGAAAAATAGACAGTTTTGTCTGTGTTTCAAAAAAAAAAAAAAAAAAAATAAATAAATAAATAATGTTGCACACTTTCTGATACACATTGTCAAACTGCCCTGCCACAGGAAATGATTGCAGACTCTTCAGTTGATGAAGAAGACCCAGAAGAAGACAATTGTAACGGCGAAGACAATTGTAATGGTGTTAGTGTTCGATATCAAATTCGAACTTATTTTTTGCAAGTGATTTTTTGATACTTTTTGACCCAAAATTAACAAAGGTTGTTTGTGTTTCAAAACAAATAAATGTTGCACACTTTTTTGATACATATTGTTCAAAACTGCCACAGGAAATCACTGCATACTTACTATCAAATGAAAATCCACTAGTGGATTTAGCAAAGCAGATGATGAGACAACAAATGCGTAGTCTCTTGAGCGAGCTGAATCCTAGAGAGAGAAAAATAATCGAGATGAGGTTCGGAATGGAAGATGGCATACAGTATAACCTAGCTGAAATTGGTGATGATTTTGGAGTATCGAGGGAGAGAATCCGACAGCTCGAAAAGAGAGCGATGCTCAAGTTGAAGGAAAGGTTTAGTAGTGAGGAGCTCGAAGCGTATGCCGAAATTCATGTTTAGTCTAAGTGATGGAACTATATTTGTGCAGTAACTAACTATTTACTTGTTTTTTATTCGCAACATTTGTTCAACAACTAGTAAATTGTATGTGTGATTCAACCAACAGAGAAACTTTTTTTTTTCATTTTTTTTTTCTTTTTTTTAATCACATTATTGGGGTTGGGCCAAGCCCAACCCGCACAGACCAAGGCCGTCCAAGGCCCGTGTCGAGCCAAGTCGAGTCAGCCGACGAGCGGGCACGCGCACGTGGCCAAAGTTATCAGTTATCACCAACATCTAGTGCATACTTTTATTATTGTTCCGACCTATTCAACTCTCTTTATTATATAATCTCATTCCAATGTAGAAAAAGATTCTTGACCTTTCGCATTTCAACCAACGTTATTAGTGACTAACTTTAATAATTTATTTCTCATTCACCGAAAATCAATTTGAGAAGAAAAAAATGTACAACTGAGTATCTATTCGGAACGTAAAATTTTTCTACAATAATTTAATTTCACCTGAATTAAATTTTTATCCATAAAAAATCAGTCAAAATTAGGTCAAACTCAAGTTTTTATCATAACTTATCTTACTCCAAATCATTAGGGTTGTCAGAAAAACCCACCGGGTCGGGTTACCCGCGGGTAACCCGAAAAATCGGGTCG